AAGAAGTGTTTTTTGAAATTTGAAGAGAAGGCCGGCGTGCCATACTCTGTCGAATGCCTTTTCTGTGTCTAAAATGTATGTAGCAACAGCATTTTTTATATAAAAGCGTCAGCAATAAATTCATTCACATTAATAAGCTGGTGTATGGAACTATGTCCTCAGTATTATTGTTTGGAGTCGATGATATTATTCTTTTCCAGGTGATCAATTAGTCGAATTTGGATAATTTTTTTCGAAAATTTTACCAATGCAGGGAAGCAGGCTTATTGAGCGGTAACTGGTGGTTTCTTTTGAATTTTTACCTGGTTTGAGGAAATTTATGACCATAGCATGTTTCCATTGATGTAGAAAATACTTTAAACAAAGGCAGGGATTAAAGAGATTTGTTAATAATACGATGTAACGCCAGGAAAGTTCTCTGATATATTTATTGGAGTAGCCTTGTGCTTTATCAATCTTGAGATTCTTAATGATGTTCTGTACTTCTCTAGGGGAGGTAGGTATTACATAATTTACATCAGTGCGATGAATTAAATTCTCGTTGAATTTTTGGTCTTCACTTTGAATTCTGGAATTGACTTTATGGATTTCATTTTCGATATCAGAAATGTTAGCAAGATTAGAGTAAGCATTTGGAATTTCAATAACAGTATTAAATTTCTCCCAGTTAACATTACATTTCAAATTTTGCCATTAAGATGGATTTAACGGGTAAGCGATCAGATGACATTTCCTGTAGGACTTCAAGGTAAGGATTTTGAATAATACTTTTTGTGATAACGATGTCGAGAACTTCCGAAAAGCCTGTGTAGTGAAATCTTGTAGAGGTTTCCAGTCCGAGTACTTTAAGATTATTGTGAAGAGCATAGTTATCGAGGATAGTGCCATTATTGTTGGTTCTACGTGAATTCCATAATGAATGCTTAGAATTTAAATCTCGCAGCAATAAATAACAAGCATTCCAGGTCTCTGTCAATAACTTGGCTTCCTGTAGAATTATAAGCGGACATAAATAAATAAAGATCACCAGTTCTTCTATAAATGATAACCGCAGTGTGCTCAATGCACGTATTTCTAGACGTCTTAAGTTGATTTCAGATGATTTTTAAGCATAATGAAGGGACCTCCTTCTCTGTTATGTAAACACTACATATGTATTATATGTAAAGTTCTTTGCAGACTTTTATGGGCCATATTCCGTGTTGATTAACAGGTCAAATACTTCCATTCCAATTTGGATTTTTTAAATCGTTCAGAAAGGGTTTTATCCGTTTCAAAGATATTTTTAATCCAAGACATGAATGACTAAGTTATCTTTGATGGAACTACTTTCTGACTCATAAGTAGTAGTCTTTGGAGATTTTTCAGTTTCCTTTCGAGTTAGTGAAGGAAAAGTTTTCTTACGCATTCGGTGGTGGTGCGTTTCTCCGAGTGTTAGTGATTTTGCGTATATTTTTCGATTATTTCTCCTACTTGCGATAGGACGCAACGTGTTCTTCACATAGACAACACTTGCCGGAAAGTTTCTTGTCTTTCTTACACCTTGATGTTTTGTAACTTTCACTGATATCATCTCTGATCGGTGTCCAGTGATCGACGTTGGCGACAAATATTGAGGCTATTCTCCGTCTTTTTACGCGGTGTAATTAATTATTGGGATTTTCATTGAAGTTACTAACTTCCATTTCATAGTTGTCAGGTAGAGTATTAAACTTGTTTTGAAGCGCATAATCATGGCCTGAAGTTTCATTTATAGTCCGTTTATACACAAAGACTAAAACCTGAAATTCATATATTTAACGCAACAGTTTTAACGAAAATTTCCTGCCACCATAAATATCGTCTGCGACCACAGTTCACGTTAGAAAGTTTAATGGTTGATGTGTTGTTACATAACAGATACTGGGCCGGACTTAAATCTCACACTTTAATGAACTCGTAACAGCTACACCCATGTCAGCATTCCATGCACCAAAATATCACATCACAATGGCAAGTACCACTGTCATATCAGTCTGACTTTTAGTAGGGTTTCAATATAGTTGGCATTTTTCCTTTTCAGCACTATGCAGATACAAATTTCCCAACATATACATGTGCAAACATTTCAGTCTGTAGTTTGCGTACGGCCCCTGAATATGATTTCGAATTCTAAAATGAAATTTATCTATCAATTTTTGTTGTGCAAGGGTTATACTTTTGTATTTTGTTTTATAATGAGTATAACACTTAGACTCTACAATTGAACCGAGCTATTGCGAAGAGCAATGTTGCCGGTTCCAGAATTAAAGCCCAAGGGCACTTGACATAAAGAAATCGGGAAGAGGAGAAAATCTCAGATGAGAAAACGGAGAAAATGGGAAGAACAGAAGTACCAAAAGGAGCAAGACAATCAAATCGGACAAATTCGCAAAACGTGACGAGCGATCATAGCTTTCAAGGAGGACCCAAGACAATGCAAATCAATAACAACAATAAGAGAAGATACACTACAGCAATAGTTCCAATGACAAATTCAAATACAATTAAACAACCTGAATCAATAGTGCTAAATACAACACAATTTAAATACAACTATTCAACGCAATACACTACAGCAACTCAACAACAACCTATTTACAACACTACTATATCATCACACTGCGAAAAATCTCACAGCATTAGTTTTATCAATCTCCAAGAATAATATTCAAGCTACAGTAGAACTTCAATTAAAATCAGATGCATTGGAAGTATAAACAGCTACCAACTGAGTGAAAAAGTTGTCGTCTCCTCCCATGAAGGTGTGTGCTGCAAGTGGTCTGACGTTTCTATCTTCAAAGAGAATTTCATAATTAAAGACTTGGGAGTAATTAACAAAGTCACATTGCACAGCTTTGTTGAAGAATTTTCATTAGATCTTCTGACGTAATCTGGAATCGTCTCAAGTTTTAAGTCTCTGCGTAAAAGTTTTTTGCGGATAAGATAGTGTGAATCAGTAATAATGCGCAGAAATTTGTTTTGCACTACTTGTAATTGATGCAGTTTAGTTTGAGTGACCGTGTTCCAAGCAAGAGCAGCATAACAAAGTATTGATCAAATGCAAGTGGAATATATATGTGTTTTGGTACGCAAGCTAAGATTTGAATATTTTCCAATGACCGGGAGAAATCTGCATATTATGCCCATGGCCTTGCTCTTGACACTATAATGCGATTAGACCATGTGAGCCTTTGGTTCAAAATAATTCCTAAGTATTTGGTCTTTGTGACCAGAGGAACAGCTTCCTGAAAAAGGTACAGATCTTTAAAAGCAATGTTTTTCTTAGTTTTGCTAAGAATTAAAAGCTGTGACTTGCTAGCGCGATTTTTTATGCGCCAATTTGTGCTCCAATCTTCTATGGCATAGAGGTAATTTTGCATTTTGTCTATTGCATGATTAGCTTGGATGGATTGGGAAGAAGGAAGATCTTGGCTTGCTTCCAAGGATCAGGGAAATAGTTGAGAGTAAGACAGACGTTGAGAATACTAGCGAATTTACTGATAAGAGTATAACATTTTCCTAAAAATTTTTATATATCTATATGTATATAAGCGGCTAAAGTGTGTGTCGCGGATAGTTTATTGTTGCCACTCATTTTGGAAATTAATGGAAAATGAGCGCGGAAATTAACGTTTCCATAGTTATTAATTTCTCGGCCGATTAAAGTCGTACGAAGATGAGAACGGTATCGATGGATTCGGAGAATTTTTTGGAATCCGAGGATATGCGTCCCGAATTTCAACTCGGCGCCGTTCCGTAGATATTCGAGAAAAAGAATTTGGCACACAGCCAAATTCCTGTAACAGGGAAAACCCAAGAAAGAAAGTGGAAAATGTTGGTAAAACGTAGGGGAAAATTAGTTTTGAATCAATATCTCGGCTAATTAAAGTCCCAAGAAAATGCGAATAGTCAAAATGGCGTGCTGCGGACCTGCGGAATCCAACAGTGTGCTTCGCTAAGCCTGGGAGCCAGCCGTTTCGGAGGAGATGATGTCACTTCCCCCCATGCGGCTTAAGTGTCTGTTTGTCGCCGATAGTTTATTGGTTGCTTGCGTAACTGTACTAGCCAATGGGGTGAAGTTGCCCTTTCAACTGAGACGTAGACAATTTCCTATAAAACTTGCCTTTGCTATGACCATCAATAAGTCTCAGGGTCAAACGCTTCAGTGTGTTGGCATTTTTTACCTGAGCCTGCATTTGGATACGGTCAACTTTATGTTGCCTGTTCAAGAGTTCGTGAAAGAACTCTAAAATAAACGTAAACTAACGTAAAATTAAAAATAATTTATGGTCCTCTGCAAGGCGAGCTTAGAAATGATGGAAAGATCTAGACAAGAAATGCTGTGTACAAAGAGATCTTTGACATGTGAATTAACATTTTATTATTCAAATTACCTTAGCGGTGGCTTTTGAGAAATGTACCGCCAGTGGTTTCCTTCATTGCACTCTACTTTAAACAATTAAGCAAGTAGAAGGGGGAAACCCCGTGGGGCAGTAAGCAAAGGGGCGTCCTCACCGCCTACCCTGGGTAATTCAGTTTAAATTAGCAGACACATTTGCACAAATCATTTTAATTACAATTTATAATATCTAAGACAGCGGTCATTTCGTGTGACCGCCGGGCTTTCTAGTAGGTATATAAACAAGTGGAATGTATAAAAAAGTTATTTTGTAATTAAAAAAATCTATTTAAAAATGCCAAGGTATAAATATTTGTGTTAAAGCATTTTTATAACTGGAAGCCTATGTCTACAACAACCAGCTGTGGAAATAATTGGCAGGTATGAACTTTTGTGGACACAGTATATATATATGCATTTAATGATATTGTACCTGCCCCTTTTTTAGACATAGGTATGATTTTATAATTCATTACGACTAAATTACATAATTATTTTGGTTTATTGTTACATACTATTGATTTCTACTTCATTCACATATTTAAGTGAACATATAAAAACAGTAAAAAACACAACAGAATGAAAGAAACACAGGCCAGGATGCTAATTTATTTGTGTGCAAAGAAAAAAAGGAATAAACATTTCTCAAATTCAAGTGATCAATTTAAAGCAATTCCAATTCAAACCACAACCATCAAAACTCACCAATACAGGTCTAATAATGCATGAAAGAAATCACATGAACTCACATTTAAAGCAAAACTGGTTTCCATTTTACAGAGAATTTCAAATATTCTGATATGAATCCTTTTTTTAAAAAAAATATACTTAAATTGTAAATTATTAAAGTTTATAACTCTGCATTTTATACAGATGTTTCCAGCTAATAATTATTCTGTGGAAAAAATGTGCTTGGGCTGTCTTTTCTGAAAGCTACAAAATATTTAGGTAATTTGCTTAAGTGTTTAGTTAAAAAATGTGCATGAGCTTAAGCTCACCCATAACTGAAATCCAACAAGTACTCAAAAAAAAAAATATATATATATATATATATATATATATCCCCCCTTCTTTATTTTGCAGATACTATGTTTTAATGTTAAAAGAGAAACTCAAAAAGCAATCCTATAAAACTCAATAAAAGGGACTGCCCTTTTATTGAGGGAAACATCCCTTCACTTAAGAAAGAAAGTACTCCTTAAATGAACAATTAAGAAATAATGATTTTCAATTAGTTTTCCATTTGATGGTTACAAATAGTTCAGTTATAAACATAGGATACTAATTTATGAATGTAAACCACATCACTGAGTGATAAAATTTCCTTGGAAATTTAGAAATGCAGAAATAAGTTTATTTATTCGACATTTTCTGATTATCCACACTGAATTCAAATTTATAGCAAAACTGCCTGTTTCTGGCTTATTTTCGAGTACACATGCTACACGAAATAGCACATATTACACATTTTAATGTATGTAGATTTACATGCTTAATAAATAGCTATTTTGCTAAACAGCATCCACCAACTGTAAAAATGTAAATACTTGAGTGTACGGACTCCCCTTCCATAAAATGCTTCTTTTTATTATTATTTTTGAATATGGCTTAAAAATTTTTTTTCATCTAACAGTTCATGAATGTTCATGGGGATGCAGATATTCAGAAAGTGCATTGATTCTTTAATGATATTAAGATTACCAAGAAAAATGCTATGAAACATTTTTATGCAATGCCTAAAATTCAAGCACATTCATATGCCTAAAATTCAAGCACATTCATTAAATACACTTCTATTCTCATATAAACACATAATTAAAAAAAAATTGATTCCAAATCTGAAAAATATATTTACATTTATTTAATATGTTGCATGAAAATAATTGTTAAAATCAGATTTTCCCCCCTGACATATATCAGTGGTTCTAGTACCACATACTAAACTCATTTTTAAATCTTATTCATAGTTTAACTTAAACAGAAATAAAATATAACTTTTGAAATGCTTTAACTTTTTCCTTAAAAATTTTAATTTTTGTCACTGAATGTAGTCGTTATTTGTGTATATAAAAAGCAATCCATATGGCTGTTTGAAAAAAATGTTGCACTTGACAAAATAATTATATATAGCAGCATAAAACTGATAAATTTTATTCAGCATTCATGCACATTTACTCTAACCGACTTCTACCTACTCCACAATTTAAAAAGTACACTGAACTAAGCAAATTATAAATATTAAGAAAGGCCAATTTACAAATTCAACAGAATTCATTCTAAAATATTTTTCCTCTTTACTGCTTATAATAATGCCAGATATGGAAGTTAAAATTTAATTTATGTTATATAATGTTAAACACAATGAATATATATATATATACAAATGGATAAGTAAAAGAAACATACTTAAATTTTCTTTAAGGAGGAAAAAAAGCTGAATTGTATTATAAGTTCGTATAAAGAACCGTGATTTGAAATGAGTCCTTTACAAAATAAAGAGACTAGGATCCAAGAATTCCATGGTTTTTCACTGACACTCTGAAAACAGAAACCAGTAACATACGCAGCAATCTATATTTAGCACACTATTTCTGCTCCATGAAACGGAGCTTACATTCAAGACTACATGGATGGCAGTGTTCTTAAAATGGAAGGAATTTGACACACAAATTTCTGTCAGAATACCAAGTATTTAAAACATTACATCATATACCACACTTACAAGCAAAACTGCATCAAGTTCCAAAACACACTGCAAAAATAATCTAATAAAAATAAACACATCATTCAAAACAAGCGCTATACATACAAATAAAATTCATGCAATAAGAGTAATTTAAACACGATTTTTTAATCTGAGATTTAGAAAACAAATAATTTTACATAAGGCATAGTAGTTTGATATTATAAGCTGAGAATTTGCATAATACCCATGTACCAATATAAAATATTCTAAAAGTATAATTAATTGCATATGAAGTATTAGTATGCATAAGCTGTCATGGACGGATATGCCAGAACATTTAAAAAAAAAAACTGCTTGAAACAACAGAAGAAATAAATAAAAATCTCCTTTTTGATAATGCTAATATCCTAATCCTTTTTTTGACAAAATGCACAATTTCTGCATATAATAATGCAGTACACAACACTTTTTCATAATTGCCAAGATTATACATTTAAAGTAAAGTGAAATATTAAACTAAAATACAGCTATGTTTAAAAATGTAGAGAATGACAAAATTTCCTCAAATTAAACTTTAAAAAATTTCGTGAAACCTCAGTCACAAAATGTATTTTAAGAAATTGAAAATTCCAAATGAACTTTTGCAGCATGCAAAGACCTATATTGGTGACATAACAAATCCTTAAGGCTCATTTTGTTGATAACTTTATTGAATGAACAATTTTTAAGACAGCTGTAACTGAATTAAATCTACAAAAATTTTAAAATATAAAAACTAATCACTGCTGCACAAAGTCTGAAGACTGTACATGTTTTAATATCTACAGTACAAAGTCCGTAATCCGGGCTTCGGCAATTCCGGATATAGATCATGAATTTAAATCTGGTAAGATGGCATGCAGAAATTATACAATTAAAAATATGAAACCGTAATTTATGAAATAAAGAGCGATTATGATCTAAAAAGTATCAAAATTTACAAAACAAAATTATTTATTTTTTTACTTTATTAAACATTTCTTTCAATGTAAGTTGTTTAAGTTGCTTTGTTTTTCGTTTTTTGTGCATGCATGCTAAACATTAAACGCGCATGTGTAGCAGTAAACCCATCACACGCGTGCATTAAAGATTACAAAAAAAAAAGTTTGTGGCTTTGAGGTCCGGATTATAGATCATTCCGGATAATGGACGTCCGTATTACAGCCTTTGCACTGTATTATGTTAACACTCTTAACATACAGATGTGCTATTCGCTCATGAACTGATTCAAAGAACCAATTCGGTTTACCGATCAAACGAACGGCAATTCATCAAAGAAGAATGGTAGTTCTTTTAGCGTTCTCAAAGAGCTCTTGTTGGAGGCATGCCAGAAAAATTCGATTAAAATTTTAGGGAAGAAATGCTTAGCCTCCATGTTAAAAGTAAATTTACTTTTCATAATTTCCCAATATGTTTAACACCTTTTTATTCCAAAATTTTATTATTAGTTCTACGCTGAAAGGAGGTTTTAGGGAATCTCAAAACTACATTTGAAAGAAATAAGCCCAGAAAGTTAATGATTCAAATGAGTTCATTGCTTCTGTTTCTTCTCTTTCACTTTCATATATCCTTCTTGATTCACTCTCCATTACTGTTTTTTAAAATTATTTAGTGAATAATGAGTCATAAAAAAGAATCGATTCAGTTAGTGAACAACTCTAATCCGATCCCATAAAAGAGTGATTTTACCCACCTTTGTTCTAAAATAAGTTTATATTTGAACCTTGATTATGAAATTCATTACACTAAGAATTTATTGCTATTTAAAACTATTTTATCTACTTTTGTAAAAGCGATTAATTAAATTAAAAATTATATTACTTTCTTAAAAATACTTAATGTATTATATTAATAAAAAAGGTGTCAAAATTATCTTAAAAAATTAATGAGATAAATAAACATATTTTTAAAATTTAAAACAAGTCCTATTTAATTTGCTGTTCTACTAACCAAATAACTATACTGTTTTCATACACTTGTAAAAAAGATTTTGGGGAAGACTACATGCCAAATAAAAAAAAAAAAAAAAAAAAAAAAACCTCTTAACTAGGAAGAGAACGAAGTTACTTTGCTAAAATTCAATGACAGACTAAACAAATTATTGAGGTCTGCCATACTTATAATTATTTCAGATTTTGATTTTTTAATGTTTTTCAAGGACAACTATAACAGTAGAATATAGCAACACAGATTTAAGTTATAACTACAAGATATACTAAATGAGGTTGAAAAAAGTGAGGAATGTGGCCCAAAGCCAAGGTAGGAAAAATCTGAGAGGAACTCTAACATGCATTAGATAATTAAGGCAACAGAATAAGTTAGCTATAGATTTATTTTTCACAGCAACTGCTCTATACATAATTTTTATGAAACAACACATTTTTTAACTAGAAGTACAGATAAAATGTTCTTCAAATGCTTGGCATTCATTTTTATTAATATAATAAACACCAATTTGAATGCACAAGCAGATTTCATACTTAAAATTTTCTAATTAGTTTAAAATAAGAACTCTCTGCTTAAGACTTGAAAGTACGTATTAGATAATAGAAAACGTATCATAAAATATAACAGAGTTTTCCAAATAGTTAAGAAAGTTTTTGGTGGTTTGTCAAAACAGCTTATATAATATTTGAACCACAGCTGCAGTTGCAATAACATGAACAAATTTTTGTGAGCCCAAATAATATATTTTGCATAAGTTTTAAATCCACTGCTGACCCACACTAATTCTACATACAAATATTCTGTATAACTAAAACTCTTTATTTAAACATAATAATGTCTTTATACCTACTCAAATACACATAAGAAAAAGGCTTATCTGAACTTTTGATTTGGATAAAATCTGTCTTTTAAAAATTAATTTACATATGATAACTACAATATCTGACTGAAGCCCAAAAAGCCCAGTATCCAAGACGAAAATTAAGCCTGTATTTGAGCCATGAGTCTTGCATTACTTTTATTTTCACTGTTATGTTTTAAAAATAAAGAAAATTTGCATTTAGTATTTTGAAATTTCTTTTGATATATTCTTACAATAACATTTCATTGCCTCTTCTAGATACATTAATGAAAACAAGCATTGTAAAATAATTCCAAATTTAATCTTGTAAGATTTTAACAGTGAAGTCATGCATGTATGTAAAACAATACGGTAAAAATTAAAAAATGTACAAGTTTTTAAATCCCCAAAATAAAATAATAAAGTATAGTTTCATATGATCAAATAAGGCATATAAACAGTTTACTTTAAATAGGGATGAGCATACACAAGAAGTTTCTCATATTGCTTTATAAAAAACATTTTTACATATAATATAGATATAATTATAATAATTTTTAACATCATCTGAAGATGATCAAACATTCTATGAATGGTAATTATTTCCATGCTTTAAGAAAAACTAATTGTCAAATTATAGCTCACAATTGGGGGGGGGGAATTCCCGAATTACATTAAAATTAAAAGAGCATTATTTTTAAGAGTGAATTAACTGAAATACAATTTTTTATGGGAATATTAACTAAATTATCCACCAATACTATGATTTAAAATGCAGATATAATTTTTCTCATTCTGAAAATTAATCTCCCTCCCCCAAAAAGAATTTGAAATATTGAAACTTAGAAAAACCAAGTACAGTATATAATGGACAAAAATTATAAGATAAGCAACCAATACAAAAATTATCCTAAAGTGTAATAAATAGAAACAGAAGTAGTAGTTTTGAGCATATGAGTGAACATTCTAAAATACAATAATTAGAATTACTTTTTAATACTTCTCTCTCTATACATAATATACATATATACATACTATATGCATGTATATATAATTAAAAATATATAAAACATACACATAATTAAAAGCAAAATATGATTGCTGCACTTAAAGCTACTCTTCAAGTTAAATATTAATAATAAATTGCATGAATAATTGACATTAACTATGGTCCATTCTAAAACACGCAGTCTTTTAGGGGAAAAAATTGGGAAAGGCCTTCCTTCATTTGCATTCATGTCTTATATCACATCACAAATTTACTCCACTTCATTAGAAACTTATAGTTCAAGTTAGCCTTTAATCATATGCTTTTTTAAGAAGGAAAACACATCAAATGGAGAAAAACAATTAGACCTTGATCATCTGTTGCAGCTGTTGTTACAGCAAACCAGGGGGAGGAAAATGACCCTAAATGCCTGTTCTAAAGTAACAGACTGTAATGCACCTGACTAAACTGATTTCAGAAGTATAACAAATATAAAGAGGATTTCAATTTATTATTATTATTATTATTATTATTGCGTTCCTTCATCACCATAAATTAGTATGTAGTTTCCAAACCCTTTTAAAATACTGCAACATGATAACACCTATTTAATGAATATAGGTTACTATATGCTATAAAAAGTTTATCAGTAAAAACATAGCCACATAATTTTAATTTATATAAAATTTTACCCAAAATATTCTAAAATAATATTAATTATTGATATTAGAATATGTTGTGCAATAAGATATTACCTTGATAACAGCATTTTTTAATTATAATAATTTCACTTTTTAATAATGGTGGTTGGTATAAAAAATGCTCATCCCTAACTTTAATATTTTAAATTCTTCTGAAAATTCTTACATTAACACTAGTAAAATTATATTTTAATTTCAAGGCTTTTACAAACTATACACAATTTAAATTATTCAGTGGGGAAGTCACATTAATTAATCTGCCTTTGCCTTAAACCTAGTTATCAGATGCAATTGATAAAATGGGCATTTTTCTTAAAACTTATTTCCCCTCCTTCTAAAAGAAAAAATACTTTAAAAATTCAAAAATAATAATAATAATTCCCCACCCTGCCCAATTTCAAGTATGAATTATTTCTTTCTTAACATTACTTATTCCAACCATATTGGGAATCACTGCACCTTAATATAGTTTAAAAGTGAAACACAGCACACAATTCAATAAGAAGGCTAGGTACGAAAGTACAATATTGATCTACGTGGACCATATAAGCTATCACAAATTACCAGTAAAAAACACTATATACAGACTAACATGATGATGATGAAAAAGTTATGAGAATCAAAGTGCAATGCAGATGTATTTAATTACGTGACTGAGGTTATGAGGTACAAATATACATGCATTAACCTGCATTTCCTTACACTGCTATATGCACTTTTATGAAATGGCATCAATATTCATGTCATGCTAGGAGCAAACCTTTGTAAGCTTTAAGCATTGTTACAGATAATGGGAAAAACAACCAATATAACTAACACTGCATTATGAGCATTCTCAGGAACACCTCGTTGCATACAATAAAGCATTCTACTGAAGAAAATTTAGCAATAGATTGCAATATACTCACAGTTAAAATCATCAAAAAAAAAAAAAAAAAAAAAAAAAAAGACAAACACATACCATTTTAAATCTAAGAAATTAAAATTAATAAAGGTACAGAATAGTAATTCATAATTTTCAACAAAAAGAACATGAAATTTGTTATGTCTTGTAACCAAATAATTTTGATAAGAAAGGTTTAAAGAACTTTAAAGCATTAAATTTTAAATAAATTTTTATAGCAACAAGACAGCATTTTTTAATATTTCCTTTTCAAAGGGCAAAGGAAATTTTACAAAAAGTAAAGGAATTTCAAATAAAATTCTACACATTAATATACATTATGTAACACTAATGCTGAAGTATACATTCAGATACACTCTGAACCAAATTTAAAATTAAATTTCAAACTAATTTCAATTTATATTAAAGAAAAGTTGAATTACTAGAATGATGCAGCTAAGCTGCCTCCTCCTTTTATTTTTTTAGGAAATGCCAATTTTCATACAACTTCATAACACTTCGTGATATTGGCTGAGAGAAAAACTGTTTCCCCCCCCCATTTAAAGAATAAATGAATAAAATAAGTACTAGGCAATATAATTGAATTGTATAAAACACCATTAAAGAATTTGTGTATATATAACTACAGATTTTGTAATGAAAGCTTGTTTTACCCCGAGAATAGTTAAAATCCAGTGTAGTTTAAATGAAATTACATTATTCTTACGCTATACATACAAAATTCTCTGCTAATAAAGCAGTGTTCTGACAATGACAGGTTAAAGAGGTAACATGGAATTAGCACACAAGTTCACAGAACTAAAATTAGCAGCAACACTTCCTTAATAATATGAAGGTCAGTGCTAATATCATATGGAGAAGGCACACATTATTAGTACAGGAATATAACTGCACACACATAATTTTACATTTTGCAGCTATAAGGTCAAAACGGCACAGTGAAGAATTATGTACACATTTTTATTACATTCCTATGGAAGGTAGCAATTTTAACCTTGCTAAGAAGCAAAGTTATGACAATATGTCAACAGTCTGAAAACTCACACTAAAACAGCATGAAACAAAAGTATCACCAACAAGATTTTAGAATAACATTCACTAATAAATACATTTTAATACATTATTCTATTTTGCTTTGAAGAAGGGATACTAATTAAAACTAAGAAAGCCATTTTAAACATTTAAGAAGTTTAATGACTGAGTGCTCATAAAGAACTCTAAGTTATTAGATATAATACATTTGCACAGAAATGAATTTAAAACTACCACATGTAAAGTAATTCAAAATATTTTATTAAAATTTCTTAAATAATGCCCTAAAGTAAAACAATTGGTGCAATTAAAAATGCTATTTATAGTTAAATAGGAAATTTCAGTATGACTAGGAAGCAAATCATTCTAATCCCAGTGGATAAAGTTTTGCATAGAAGGATGAACAACAAGTGAAGAAACAAGCATAAACTTATTTTTAAAGTTGATAATCTATAAAATGACAATACAATATCATGAATTATCTATATATATTCATTTATTTTCGTTGTATGTAAGAACCAAATGGTTCTAAACTTTATTTTTAACTAATTTTATGAGACCACTAATTTTAAACCTAATTCTATGAATGATTTTTTTAAGCAAGAATCAGATTGTGAGACATATTAGATAAAAGAGAAAAAGCAAAGTTTTTTTTAAGTAGTCCCACAGTATATATTAATAGAGAGTTGCGCATATGAGCATTTCACATTATTTTAATGAGACAAAATATTGAGCATAAAATCACAAAAGCATATATATGAATTCCATTAATATTAAAAATTATCACAGCTAGCAACTAAATCAGTTTAAACATCACGTATTTTAATGAAATTTTTTACTTGTTTCTGACCACACACACACACAAAAAAAAAAAAGGGTAAGAAAGAAAAAAAGGGGGGAATAATTAATGAGTTTATATGCACAAAGAATTTCTTCAAATATACCTAAAAGTTCATAAATTAGTTTATAATTAATATTTACCATACTTTTATAAATTGTACACAATTTGGAAGCAAAGAGAAACTAAGATTCATAAATGAAAATTAAAAAGTTCTGTGTGTTACACTTGCATAAATAATAGCTGCAAATGTTGTAACAAACAATATATTTGGCAAATATTAAATCTAATGCTTGTCTATACCAGATCTCTCAGACAAAGCATATATTCTTGTTTAAAATGTACAAGCTGGACAAAACTACTAGGCACACAATCAACACTTAGAGCCATTGTGACATCTAAGCATGCAAAGTGTGTACACAACATAAACATGTACATCACTTTTTGTTATATTATTACACAGAATGAGATCAAGTTGACAAAATCTATACATTTTCTCACATAAGGATCTCATTATGTTATAGTGGACATATTAGTGCTGATTGATAGGATTGTTACATACCTGAGTCGTTAAAAACAAATATATACCATTAACATTATCCCTCACAAACAAATCTGACATTACAAATTAATATTTAAACATAAATTCATTACATTAAATTCCATTGGATATGACTAATTTAAGAGGTAGAAAGATAATTTAACAGGATAAAAGAGTATTTGCACATACCAAAAATATCTATTATGGTACAGATTTATTTCATCTTACTATTTGACAAATAGTATGAAATACATTGCTTGAATAGAAATGCTACATTTTCTTAAATATGAAATGTTTGATACTGCAAAGATAGAAAATAGAAGAGATAGATAATAAAATTTTTATTACACTAACTATACTTAGATAAATTAATAATACATGTGCAGCCAATAATTAAGAAACATATCTACGATAATATCAATGGAAGGTAATATTTTTATAGACATAAATAACAGTACAGTTCACAAAAAGGATTCTGTTAACTAAAATATCACTAAAAATCATTATCAAGAACAAACCGTAAAAGTGTTTATAAACACTTTAACACATTCTATATAAAAGCTCTGCTGCACAACAGTTTGTTGCTGCACTTACTGCAGTTTTGAGAGATAAACAAATGTACCATTCAATTAAGAGTTTACTAATTTATAGTAAAGAATTAACAGAAATTACATTTTTTAAGAACAAAATAAAAAAGAAGAGATGTAGTTAGCATTCTAAAAGGGGGGGAATCTTTGCTATAAAGTATTTACATCCATTAGATTATATTTATGCATAATTATACACAGTTTTTATATTAAACTATTAATTTGCTATTTTCTGAAAATACTGTGTTTTTTGCAACTCTTAAATACCATTTATTTATTTATTTTGCTGTGTGTTTCATAGCTTTTATATTTAAATGTGAATTGTGGTGGTTTTTAAGCAATTTTATTGATCTGCACACTTATGAAATTGTTAGGAGCATTCTGAAATCACTTAAAATTTACATTACTCATTACATTACCACATTACTCAAAATCAATAATACGATGTTTAACAAGGAAAATTACCATATGCCTAGATCAAAACAAAATATCACATAAAACTAGAATGCAATTAATAAATATCAGCTTACTAAAATCACCATCTTCCATTTCAAAGAATTGTAGCATGGCAGGAACACATTTAATACAATTTATTACTGAATTTAAAAATAAATATTTAAAGAACTGATATTATGAATATAACTTAATTTGAGCACATTTCAAAGCAAATTCCACAAATAGATATATTACAATTAAGTTCATGACAATGAAAAAAGTAAAAACAAAATTCCCCCACAAATCACTGTCATCAATGCATGAACATTCAATATTCTTAATTAAAAATATGTTTAAATTTAGAAGTCAAATGTAAACTGTGTTAATTACAGTAACACAAGCAGAACTAATAAAAAATACAAATTATCAGATGATGCATAAATATTTAAATTTGTATATAGTCAAAGCATTCACATACAAAAGCAAAAAGTCAGCAGACTTTCCCCCATTTGTATAACTTAGAAGTAACAAGTCAGGACATAACAAACATATTGTGAAACATATTGTGAAAATCTAAATAGAGAATGAAAATCATATGCAGTCATTTGAGCCAACTCTTCCATCCAAAGAATGATTTTTTTTTTTTTTTTTTTTTTTTTTTGGAAAAGTGGGATGGCAAAGCTAGAGGGGGAAAAAAAGAAATTTTTATACATCATTTTATTTTTTCCCATACACACAGGTGTTTAGGAAAAATTGGACAAGTTTTAAGAAGCAACAGAATACACCAAAACCCCAATAACAGTTAAAGATACAGGTATTGGAGGATGTATTGAAAAAATCTTCTTCACATAAACTGTCACAGTTCCAGCTTGTAATGTGACTAAGCAGGATACATATGGCAAGAAAATCATTATGCACTTTATGTACAGGAATTAGAAACTGCAATGAGGCACCTTCATGTACAGAAATGAGAAACACCAATGAGGCACACCAATTAATTAGGAAGCATATTCTGGAAGCTGAATAGTCCACTGGTAAGCAGCATTTCACAATAAGGCTAGTTTTACCTGATGAACATTTGCATTTACACCATTAAAATGCACAAGCTGGTATTGGAATTAGCCTGATTGTGTAGACCTCGTCTATTTGGTTCCTGCCACAAAATATAGTGCAGCTGGATTTTTAGATCCATCAACAATTCTTTTCATGAATTGTATATTCTGCACTTAAAGAGTTTTTAATATGCATGATGCAGATATGTGATTGAATATAGCTTTCAGGCAATAAATCCACATGTGCAAAAACAGATATTCCTTGAAAGTGTTAAAATAAAAACCTCCGTAACCATTTGATTGCAACTTGATGGCAGAAAACGGAAGTTGTTTCGCCAACATTTTGGAGCAGGCTCTAATATTCATTCAGTGACATATGTGTGTCAAATATGATGCAGCATCCATAAAATTTAGCCCACTTTTCACAAGCTTTAAAGAACTACCTCAATGTTATCTGACAGATTATGTCAATCTCCATAATCATACACATAATCATCTGATAGATTAGGTCATATCTCAGTTTCCATAATCACTCAACCTACAGCATACTTTTGTGGGAGAGAAGGATATTTGAAAAACCTCATCTATGAAATTCTCCTTTAATATAATGAAAAACCTTTATTATCAGGATTTTAAATGCTACTATCAGCTGTGAACATGTGCCACCTATATTGAAGAAAGTTTGCCAATCTCTAAATCACAAAGCACACATTATCAGTGGTAGTTACTCTTTTGAGCAGTTAATGTAATATTCAAAATTAAGATTGTTTCTCCATTTTCTATATCATTCTTTTGTTTGTATTTGTTCTTCACAATTTTACCAACAAGTTCCAACCAATACCTTCACATTTTATCTTTGACCATGCATTCCACAATAAAATATTGTTTTGGTGTTTATATCACCTCTTAAAATTTGCCCTATATTTTGAAACACCTTGAATATATTAAAACATTTATTACGAACACAAGAGGAATTACACTTTTTTAAAGTTTTTAATAAATTTCTAATTCAACAAATAAAATAATAATTTTTTCCCTCTACAAAAAATTGCTGCAAACAAAGTCATGTTTTAGCTGTTGCTTAGTTTGCAATATTCACGTGTATTTACTTTGCATATGAAAGATTATTTAAAGCAGGAAACTAAAAGTTTAAAAAATTAAAGTCGCAGAAACAATTCAAAATTCAGAGAAACTATTTGTGTAATATTTAGTATTTCAAAACAAACACTTAGTTTTATAGTTATTTTATATAAAATAAGAAAAAATCACATGCTAATATTACCAGACAGCTTGCACTTAATATTGTTGCGTGCGTACGGGTTCGTTACGAAAAGAATGCACAAGTCCGATGAAAAATGAACAAAATTTATTATTATCACAACAAAAATGCTTAAATTTTCTCAAATTATCATGCAGTATTACAATATCTCACAGTAGTTATCTTTTAACTACTCAAATGTACAATAGAACGTAATTCAAAACAGCTAAAGAACGGTAATCCGCGAATTCGCTATAATCAACAACAGCAGTTTTCTAAACAACAACAAACTAAGCAACTACTACGAACTGAGATGTTTTCCTCCTTTTATAAGATTTTAAAATCACGCGCTAGAATTTTCCAGTACTTTCTCGAAATCAAAAAGAGATATTTATTTATTTAATGCACGCGCTCTTGTATTTTCAATTTTCCGGCTTAGCTTTCTTTTAATATTCGTCACGCGCTGCACTGAGCGAGAAATAAAACCATTTAATTTATAATTGAACTAACATTAGCTTTTTAAATAGCAAATTCGTAACACTGCCCCCTTCCCAAGGACTGCACGTCCCGGGCAGTACAATCCCTGGACAGGAAGCTAAACTTACAACTGTGGCATAAATGCATTAATAAGCATTACATTACAATATTAAACAACATGAACAATAAATGCAATAAATAAAACAAATCAAATGCTATCAAATACAAATCAAACACTAAATGCAAATCAAATACTAAATACAAATCAAATCAAATACACATTTAAAAACGAAATGGACCATGGTCTTATACTATTTACAATTATTTACATTATGTACTATGGCCATAGTAACGAGCTAACCTGTCGTAATGAACGACTTTAGGTTTAGAGTTCGAAGACTTACGGATCCGAACCACGACGTCGTTCAGCCTGTTTAGGACTGTGTACGGACCATCCCAAGATGACTGTAATTTTGGACAAAGTCCTTTCCGTCGAGTCGGATTGCACAACCACACCTTATCTCCTTCGTGGAACTGATGTTCAGTAGCTCTTGTGTCGTAGCGGGTCTTCATCTTCTCCGTCGCCAAGTTGACTCGCTCTCGTGCAAAGTTGTGCATCGCTTTAAACCGGGCCTGGAGATCTTGAATATATTCCTCAGGCGATGAAGGAGCATCCGGAGGGCGACCAAACAAGAGATCACAAGGCAGACGAAGATCACGACCGAAGAGCATCTGTGATGGAGAATAGCCGGTAGTCTCGTGGACAGCACTGCGGTAAGCCAGTAAAAAGAGTGGTAATTTCTTATCCCAGTCCTGTTGGTTTCTGGAAACCACTAATGAGAGGTTATTAAGGATGGTTCGATTGAACCTCTCTACCATGCCGTCCGACTGGGGATGCAATGGCGTCGTTTGAGTTTTGTCAATGCCAAGTAGCCAAGAGTTTTGTCAATGCCAATGCCAAGTAGCCATAGTTCTTTGTTTACTGCCGAGGCAAAATTCCTTCCCTGGTTGGAATGTAACTGAAGAGGCACTCTGAACCTGAGTGCTGTATCATTACCTCAGCTACTGTGACTGCCTCTTGATCAGAAATAGGATAAGCTTCAGGCCACTTGGTGAAGTAATCAATGACAACGAGTATGTATTTGTTGCCATCAGCAGTTCGTGGCAGAGGTCCCAGGATGTCAAAGGCGATACGTTCAAAAGGCGCACCTACGTTGTAACGTTGCAGTCTGCCTCGGCTGCGTTTCCTCGGTCCTTTCCGACCTGCACAGGCATCGCAAGATCGGCACCACTTTTGCACGTCATTCTTTGCATTATTCCAGTAAAAGCGCTCACGAACTCTCTGTAAGGTCTTCATAATTCCAAAGTGACCTCCTGTAGGGCTGTTATGTAGTTCTTTGAGGACATCAGGAATCCGGGATCTTGGAAGTATCAGTTGCCATCGGAACGTCTTCCCATCATCCGACTCGAATTTCCGGTATAAGACGCCGTTTCGAATGTGAAGTGAATCCCAGAGTGCCCAGTATTGTTTTGTTGTAGGACTACAGATAGAAATGTCCTGCCATGTAGGTTTTCTGTTTGATGACTCTATTAAATCAAGTATGGGTTTAATGTCGCGGTCTTCCAGCTGGTCTTTCCTGACTTCATCATCACTCCACGGGTCTCGATCAGCCGATGTTGATGTTGTAATTTGTCTTGCGACCGGAGTCAGCAGCTCGTATTTCGCTTCCACCCTGGAACAATATCGGCAGCTTTCTTGGCAAGGTCTTCTAGACAGGGCGTTTCCGTGTGATGATCCCTTACGATGACGGATAGTGATGTCATATTCTTGGAGTCTCTGTATCCACCTGGCTATTTGACCCTCAGGATTTTTGAAATTTAAAAGCCAGGCCAATGAGGCATGGTCCGTGCGGAGGAGGAATTTTCTCCCGTATAGATAATGATGGAAATGTTCTACAGCTTTGACAACGAGCAACTCTTTCCTTGTGACACAGTAATTCCTCTCCGGTTTAGACAGGCACTTGCTCCAGTAAGCTACTACACGTTCTTGGCTGTCTACTTCTTGGGACAAAACAGCACCGACACTTTCATTGCTCGCATCGGTGTTGAGAATAAATGGTCGGTCGAGCTGAGGATACGTCAGGATTGGAGCAGATGTTAAAGCCTCCTTTAAGTTGTTAAATGCATCGTCGCATTCCTTTGTCCACAAGAATCTTTGCTTGCTCTCTGTCAGCTTGTGAAGTGGTCTAGCGATGGAAGAAAAGTTCTTCACGAATCTCCTATAGTAGGTGCAAAGCCCTAGGAAGCTTCTCAGCTGATGGACATTTTCGGGACGCGTCCAGGATTTAACCGCTGATACCTTTTCAGGATCCGTGCGCACACCTTCTGCAGAGATGACATGTCCCAAGTAAGTCACTTCCTTTCGAAACAATTTGCATTTAGCGGGAGTCAGCTTCAGATTGGCCTCTTTCAGTTTCTGAAGCACCTTTCTAAGATTTTCTAGATGCTCTTCAAAACTCTTTCCGATGATGATGATGTCGTCCAGGTATATCAGGCAGGCTTCGTAGGAAAGGCTTTTCAAAACAGTCTCCATGAGGCGTTCGAATGTTGCCGGCGCATTACACAGTCCAAATGGCATCACCTTGAACTGCCAAAGCCCTTGTCCCGTAGTAAATGCAGTCTTTTCTCGGTCGTCAGGATGTATTTCTACCTGCCAATACCCACTCTTTAAATCAAGTGTTGAGAACCACTTGCTTCCAGAAAGAGTGTCTAGAATATCGTCAATTCTAGGAAGAGGGTAACTGTCTCTCTTCATAACCTCATTCAACCGGCGATAGTCAACGCAAAATCTTGTTGAGCCATCTTTCTTTCTGACTGGGATGATGGGAGACGCC